ACCAAAAAAAAAAAGGTTGAGAAGTTAGAGGGTTGACATGTTGTGGGGTTGTTAACCACTGTCATAAAACAATATGTGTACTACTGTTTCGTGAGAAACTGTTCTGTAAGCCTTCACCTGAAATACAATTTAAAAAAAAAGGTTATTAAAAAATCTATATATATACAGTTCAAGTTTCTTAGTCTGGTTTTCAGAAACTTTCTTGGTCCCCAGACACATGCCCCTGCAAGCTGTGTCACACCGATCTGTTTTCATTCCCTGGATGCCCTGCACTCTTTGGTCTCCTCTGTGGCTTTGCTCAAGCTGTTCTCTCTTTACAGTCCCCTTGCTGCAGCCATTTCCATATCTCATTTTCAACATTCTCAAGACATGCCTCAGATCCCACTTGCTCTGTAAGGCTTCTTGAATCTCTTTCAATTAAAATTGCTCTCTTACTCTTTTGAACATCCATAGCCCTATATTTGTACTTTGCTGCTTTTCACGGTATACTCTTAATTAGCTCCTGACCCATAAAGCAGAGAAGGATCATTCTAGTTTTTACATATAGTAGGTATTCAGTTAATATTTGTAAGTTGACTGTCTAATCCAGTTATGCAGATGGCTGCATGCCTGCAAGTTCCAACCTAGAAGTCTAGAATGAGGGAATGTTAGCCTATCCATTTCCAATTTGGGGAGATTAAAGATAATGAAGACAGGGTAAGTGTGTCTTTTTCCTCTCTCTCTCTTTAATCTTTAAGACTGTTTAAGACACTGATCTGATCCAGGTCCAGCTACCTTCAAGGTTGTTGTGTGTCAAGCCAAAATAGACTTGATCTTGGTAGATGGAGTAGCTTTCTTGACAATAGCTAAGGGCTTGAGGAGGGAGAACTAAGTCATTCTGACATCTGTCGTGTTTTCAACACTGTCAAACACTCTATGCTGTCTCATTGTAGTCCCCCCACCCCCACCCCCAGCAGTCCTAGAAGGGACTACTATTATCCCCTTTTAGAACTCAAAGCAGTTAAATGGTTTCCCTAGGATATAAAGGTAGAATGAGATTATAATGGTAGAATGGGAGTCTGAATCTGGCTGCCTTTGATACCCATCACTATTTTAGTGCCTTCATAAATTCAGTGATTAGCAAGAGACCAGAGAACCTTAGGCTGAAATGACCCCCACAGCTGATATTCAATGTGGAAACATCTGTGAAGTGCTAAAAGTCATAGAGTATAGTATTAAGTGCCTCTGGACTGAGCATTAGAAAACTTAGCTTCTGATCTCAACTTTGCCAGTGTTCATCTATGATCTTGGGTGAGTCATTGAACTTCTCTGAACCTCTGTTTTCTCGCTTTATAATTAGAGGAATAAACAAGATTATTTCTTTTATTCGTGTTTCATGCACTATGCAGTAGCTTAAAGTTTTATGAAGAGATAGATAAGTAAATGGAGAATTTAATAATGCACTACTGCAGATATGCACAGGGTACTCTGAGAGACCAGAGGGAGAGGGGCACCTAGCCCTTAGGGGCCTGTCTTCCTAGCTAAGTGCTAGCTGGAGAATTTGGAGAGCTTGTCAAGCTGATTGTGGTGAGGGTAGGACTCCCGCTGGGGAGATGGTAGGTCACCTCTGAGAACTGTAAGTAGTTTCCCTAAATATGTAATGAAAGAGGGAAAGGGAGAAAAACAAGACTGGACAGGAGCTAGATTGGGGGGGGGGGTACTTCTGTGCCTTATGAAGGAGCTTGGACTTTATTTTTAAGGCTATTGGAAGGCAGTGCAGGTTTTAAAGCAAGATCGTATTTTCATCTTTTTGTAAAGATCTCCCTGGCAGCATAGTGGATGGCATCCAGGGACAAAGAATTGGTGGTGGGAAGACTCTTTAGGAAGTGATTGCAAAAAATAATCCAGAGAAGAGATGAAGATAGCATGAACTAATGTAGTGGCAATGGGAATGAGAGTAGAGGATAAATTTGAGAGCTACAAAGGAAATAGAATGGCTAGAACTTAGTGACTGTTCTAGTCAAGATGTTTAATGACAACCCCACAATCTCAGTGGCTTAAAACAAAAAAGATTTATTTCTTGTCCATACTGCACATCCACTGCAGGTCAGAGAGTTGCTCATTGTGCTCATTGTGGTCACTCAGGAAGCCAAGCTGGAGCTTCTCCAACATGGCTGGTTGACATGCCAGGGTGAAAGCTCTGGAGGGTCTCGCATAGGCAGTTAAATGCTGCAGCCCAGAAGTGACATTCCCAACTCAGGAACTATAACTTGTCACATGGCACTCCACCCAACCTGTAGGGGCCAGAAAGTTCAATTGTAGATGGATGGACAACACTCGCACTGCCATGATACGTGACCGGGTATGGGGGATAAAGGAGGACTCCCAAGTTTTTCTGAGAGAATTAGGCAGACATTTGAGACATTCCCTGTGAAACAGAAGACAAAATAGAGGTGAGGGAAAGCAGACAGACCAAATCATTATAACTTTTCAACCCAAAAATGTAACCATTTTATTGGTCTTTACCCATCATTTAAGAGCAGGATTGGAAGTCAGCTCTGTTGGTGAGAGTTTATTCTTTACAAAGCGTGTTATAGTTCATTCTTCCTTGTCAAATAAAGTCTTTTAATTTTTAAAATGCAGCCTTCAGATCTAATATATGGGTCTTTCTGAAATTTTCTTATGGACTATTGTGTCAACATACGGTATTTTAAAAAAAAAAGTGATTAACTGAGATGTTAGTGAAGCCTTCCTCACATAAAAATATCAGGTTACTGAATTCAAAATGCCAGAATACAAATGCCCCCTGGCCTTCATTACCACCATCCCCCAGCGTGGCACATTACAAGATACCAAGGGGTGGGAGTTGGGATGGAGGTGTAATTAGGCTGATTGCAGCCTATTGTGCTGCTCTGGAGCACAGGCATCCAGCATCCTTAGGGATTGCTAGTGCCTCAAGATCTTTTGGGAATGATGTCCTCTTTACCCCAAAATAACACAGCAGAAGCAGTGAATCTATGCTGTTTCCTTCCTTCTTTGTTTTCCCACCTCCCCTCCCGAATTTAATTGTGGTGCTTACTGCATGCCTTAAAAACTGACTTTTATTGTACATTTGTTTCTTAACAGTTGCGAGAAACGATCAAAGCTGGCAAAGGTGTGACTTCAGCTATTGACCTGTGTCGTTGCCATGGAAACAAAGCACTGGAGGCCCTGGAGAGCTTTCCTCCCTCGGAGGCCAGATCTGCTTTAGAAAACATTGTGTTTGCTGTGACCAGATTTTCGTGACACCAAATTAAAAAGACACTATTGTTCGTTTGCTGGAAAAAAACTAGAGAATGAGGTGATCAGGAGAGCTTTCATGATGAAATATCTAAATGTGTTAATGATTTTAACAGTATATACTTTTTTCCCCTTCCTAAATGAATACTGCCTTCTTTTTGGAACTGCTACAAACAAAATTAGAAGAAAAAAAGGTCAAGCAGTTTTCACTTGTCACGCCAGAAGCACACTCGAGGCTGCAGTAGCAGAAATAATTAATGAGATTCGCTCCTGTGACCTCAGCAAATGGACAGGAAATAAGTCCTTATTGATTGGACCGAGCAAGGATGGCGCCAGGGCGGTGGCCTGTGGTTTTCCTTCTAGAGAGGAGAGCAAGCTGGAAGCTGCAGGTGTCAAGAGGAACACTATCAATACCAGCTAGAGAGGACTGTCAAATCAAAAACGAGTGACCAATTTGTCATAATGAAGTATAGTTAAATGAATTAAGAAAAAATATGCTTTTTCTTCTTGCAGTTATGTCTCTGTGCTATTTATAGATCCAGTGTGAATATAGTTTGTGTTTTATGGTTTTTGTAAGATTTTTTGTTTTTGAGAAATTGCTGGGAAAAAATGCCAAATATTTTAAGTAGGAGATTAAAATGTTATCAAATGTTATCTTTGTTATATTAGGAAGTGCCTGTTTTTCTTTCTTAAAGACCAAATATTTTTTCAAACACCATTTCAAAGAACCAAACTTTTTTTTTTTTAACTGAACAAGTTGCACTTTTCCAATGAAATGTATTAGTTTGTTAACACTTTGGTTTAGAGAATACGTTTAATTTTTACAAGTTTCAGCATGTAATTATTGAACTGGGGAATTAATTGGTGAGATTTTTCTTTTAACCTCAGAATACCAAGTTTTAGTCTTGAACCACAGTCATCCAATTACAGAAAGAATATAAGCAGTCGTACAGCCCTGCAATCGGACACTGTCTCTGTGTGGTTCACAGGAGATGATTTTTGCGGTTTCCATGCATGCAGTATGAGGACACCGTTGACAAGAAGGCTGAGTTTACATAAATGATCTAGATTGAGACTTAGCTACCTTTCTTCCTTATGTGGTGTAATTACAGCCCTATCTGGAGACAGCGAACACAGCAAACAGATTTTATTACCTCGTTCACTCAAACACTAAGTGAAGTTATTTTAGTGATATCCCTCCCCACAATAGTTACAAAAGTGTTTTATCAGAGCCCAGCATGTGGCATGCAATGAAGAGAATCTGTAAACTTACAGAGGTTAAAGTATTGTATTGTGAAATATTTTTAAGTGTACTTGAAATACTGTAATTGTACAGTTTATGCTACTACGATTTGAAGGTGTATACATTTAGTTTAAGAGAACACTCCATTCTGTTTTAAATGTCTTTCTTTTCTAACTGAGATTGGCTTAATTAGTAACTATGGTTAAGATGCTTTAGATCAGACTAGGTTTTAATCATTAACTTCCACAAAAAAAGAGTAATGCTTTGTCGTCTTTGGATGGGCAGGAACTTTAGTGTGCTTTAGGTTTTATCAAGCACATGGTTCTCTACTGCAGAGTGTGGGACGAGATCCTAGGGCTCTTCTAATTCAGTTTAATAGCTGGTTTTCTCTGTGACCTTGACCCTCTGAATCAGTTTCCTCATCTGTAAAATGAGGTTTAACTGGATAATGTATGATAATGTATGAAGTCTCTTCCAGCTTTGTTTTACTTTTCAAGAATTGGCCATTTCTGACTGGCTAAATAACAAAGATGAAGTTCCTGAGTGATGCAAATGATTAACGCGCTTAGCTACTAACCGAAAGTTTGGTGGTTCAAGTCGACCCACGGATGCTTCAGAAGAGAGGCCTGGTGATCTACTTCCAAAGGGTCAACCATTGAAAGCCCTATGGAGTATAATTCTACTCTGACACACATGGGGTCGCCATGAGTCATAGTCGACTGGACTGCAGCTGGTAGGTGAATAACAAAGATGCTGTGCTAGATTTAGGGAGGAGGGAAGGTGAAACCCAAAGGGAGGCCCTGAAGGAATGCAGAAAACTTAATGGTAAACTTCTTGCTAAACTGCCTCACAGGTAACCTAAACTATTCCCAGCTCTCCTTTGTGTGACCTGTAATCCCGCACTCTTCTGTTTCAGCACCCACCTTTCTGCTCTGTTTGGGACCTTTCCTGCGTCCCTTTTGTCACTGTCTTCCCAGCTGCCTTCATGTCCTTTATTCCATCTCCTGTGCTTTGCCATGCTGACTCCCTGGCTGCTCGGTCCCTGGAACAGTAACCTGCCCTCACTGACGGGTGACAGAATGCCCTGGCCCATGGGTGCCTCACCTGTCTCCTTAGGACGTAGTTAACAGAGTTCTCACATCCTCAGCATCTTGGCCAGTTTCATAAAACCTGACATTGGCTAAAGTATGAAATACTGATAGCTTCTCCTCATGCCCCTTCTCAGGAATATTTATTTATTTATTAGCTCAAATTAAGTTCTTATAGTTTCAGGCAATCTCTGAGGAGAAATTGAGGGCAGGGAGAAACTCCTTAATCACACCTCTCAGCCTCCTGCCTGGGTACAACTGGTGAAGGTAATGAGTAGGTGAGTTAGTGGCCCTAGAATGTCTCCTCCTCCTCCCCCTTTCCTCCTCTAATACCCACCCCCCTTTCTTTTCTGCTGGAGCAAAGAATTCATTAGCCTTTGGCCTACTCTCCCCTATCCCACTCCACCCCCAACTTCTGAATCGGCTCCTCCAAACCTCACTTCAGGCCCCAATCCCATCTGCACTCTCCTCACTGTCAATTTCTTCATTAGGTATAATAAACGCTGCACTAGTGAGGGCTCCCAGGTATCAGACACTCTGCTAAGGGAGCTTAACTACACTCTCCTCTTAATTTCCATAAAAACTCTTTGGGCTAAGTACTATTTCCCCACTTACAGATGCAGAAACTGGCAGAGAAGACCAGGGACCCCTGTGTGACAGGCTGGCCCTCACACCCACTTTCCACTTGAAGGTCTTTTCAGACAGTGCCTCCTTCTCTCCTCCTTTGCTTCTCCTTCCAAAGAATAAGAATCTTGACTCACTGCCAAAGTTCGCAAGCCTATTGTCTCCTGTCTCCTTTGTGTCCCTATTCTTGAATCTTCAGTGTCCCCTCAGTTGGCTATGAATGTGCTCAGTTCTCCCTGTACCTAAATTAAAAGTCTTTCCTTCACCCTGTTTTTCCTTCCGTCTCCATTGTTTTCTTCCCAGCTTTTCCAACAAAGCCTGTTAACTCCTTAACCTTTGTAGTCGGTCATTGGCTACCAAGTCCCTGCCATCTAGACCAGCGCCAGCACGGTAGGCCTCAAAGAATACTTGTTCAGCAATTGTATCGGGCCTTTCATTGCACTACTCTACTGAGACAGCCTGAAGGTTCAAGGACCATGTCCTGACTGTTGCACGCCGCATCCCTGCACTCAGCACCCTCCACTCTGCTTGCTAACCACAAGCTTCCCCCTCAGCTCCTGGGGGCCTCCGTTCTCATTCTTCCCCTCTTCTCTGACTGCTCTTCCTAGGTCTAATGTGGTTTTCTTACTCCCACTGCTAGAGGCATTCCTTCCTAAAAATTCAAACTCTATTTCTCCAGAAACTACAGAGCAGTTTCCTGCCCCACAAAGTCCCCTTCTTTTAAGTTCGCCAACTTAAAAAAAAAACAAAACTGTTTTCTGGCAAAAAAAATGTGAATTAGAGTCATATCGTGAGCTGTTGACCACTCATTATTAGTTAACTTTCAAAGACGATAAGGATTATGACTATGATTAAATACTTTAACTTTGTTGTAAGTTTTACTTGATGATAACACAATTTTCATATTTTCTTGCTTTTATAATGTGGCTATCCATTCACATCTAAAATTAATTATCAGTGACATTGTTTGCTTGGTCCAGGGTCTCATGCCCCAGTGTTTGAGACTTTCTTATCTCTGACAGTGTCATTTCTGTGGCCCAGGATGTGGGTGACACCTACAAATTTAGGGTAAAAAACATACATTAGTGCAAAATGCTCCAAAAGAAATGCTGAAATTTGTTTAGGCCCAGCATATACAACGCATTGAACTCAGATGACCACACAGTAATCTGAATAATCCATGATAATCTCCTTTCACAACTTGACAAGTAGCTAGCTATATACCAAAGATCTCTTTGGGTGAGGGGAATTGGGAAAATGACATTTAATCAACAAAACTGCAGCTAAAGGATACTTTTTCCCCCAAGAGTCTAGCTAATCAGCAGGCTCATACTAATGAGGAGGACCCTGCTTTTCAGAAAACTCTTTTCAAACTCCTTCCTGGAGTTCTTAGTTGCAGGAAGATCCTTTCCTACCTCTTCCTTTGTTCTCCCACTTTGAAACCCCATTGTTATGATCGCTTTTCTGACCAATAGAAGCTCCAGCATCTGCCTTTAGAACTGTGAAGACTGCCTCTTAGATGGCTTCTCACACCTCCCTAAAGCACCAGAGATCAGTGACAGATTAGGTTGGAAAGGATTGAGTTTTGTAATCCTTTGCATGTAATTGAATAAATGTGAGGACACAATTATCATTTTTTAAAAAACGATAAAAGTTTGAAGTTAAGGACGCATTCCATTATTGTTAATAGTTTCCATTACTCTTGCTGTCACTTGCTGTTGAGTCGCCTTTGTCTCATGGCGGCCTTCTGTATAACAGAAGGAGACATTGCCTGGTCCTGGACCATCCCCCAATCTTTAGTATGTTTGAGCCCGTTGTCGCAGCCACGCTGTCAATCCATCTCATGGAAGGTTTCCTTAGTTTCGCTGATCCTCTCCTTTACCAAACATGATGTCCTTTTATAGTGTTCCATTACTGTCAATGGTGTTTTATTAATAATAAAGTTGTTTGTACCTTCTCTTGAAAACACAATGCAAGTTAACAAGATAATCGTTTACCTTTTTTTTCTTCTCCTAGCTTCATTCCTAATTCTTTCTCAAATTAACTGTTTTATTCTTTCAGAATATGTTCTGATTTCTAAAGGTGGTTAACAAGAGGTGTCACCCAGCAGAGTCTGAGGAGGCCAAAACTGATGGTGGGATCCACCCCTCCCTTCCACCCTTCCCACCTGCCCTCAGTGCCCTGAAGTGCTAGGGTTTACGCCTCTATTGGTAGAGGAAAGTTTCTTTCTCTTCTGTAGGGAGAGAAGGTTTCTCAGGCTTTCATTCTTTTTCTTTTGACTCCATCTTCATGGGAAAGCTACATTAGTTTACTCTCAACTTGATCTGCTCTCTTCTGATACCGTCACTGTTCATCCTGTGAGCAAACAGGTGCGTGAGCTCTCCACTGCCTCTACTGTTAGAGCAGCTTGATTTTACTTTTTAACACATTCGCAGAAATTTTGGAAAATGGAAAAAAACGAATCATTTGCAATCTCATCACCCTAACATAATCGTTACTAGGATTTCATTTGTATTTCTTCCAGCATTTTCTCCCACGCATATCTTTTTTGCATGGTTGCAAGTATAGTATAAATTCGACTTTGGGTCCTGCTGTTTTCACATAACACATCATAAATATTTTCTCATAGTGCTGCAGCCTTCATAGCATTATTAATTGATAGCTTAAATTCTAAAGAAGGCATCTGAATGTCTATTTTTGGTTGGTTTCTCAGGTGTGAGTATATGGTGAATATTTATAAGTCAACCTCCCTACCAGCTACTTAGACAGATTTTGACGTGGAAAACTAGTCCCCCTACAGATTGTGCTATGCAGCAGGTTAAAACTGTGGAACAAATTCCCTTCACATTCATTAACTTGAATTATTAATGTTCTCGGTTGATACAGCTTTGGTAACTCCTCATTCCTGCAAGATGATGCTTAAGATGAAATCACATATCTATTTATTTTCCCCTTGCTTCACTGTAAGTTCTCAGCTAGCCACACTTCAATATGATGACTTCTTCCTTCCCCCTGAAATTCATAGTCAGATGCTTGGCTTTCAGCCAAGACTACAGGAAACCATTATGTAAAAGATGAGAAGTCATCCTGGCTTCTTCAAAGACTTGGGAGGAGGAAACTCTTAGGGTTTGTTCTAAGGGAAACCAACAAGATAATCTTTATCTGACTCATATCTTTCTTGCTATAACATTATGAGCCTATCATGCTTTGTTATTATTGTCTTGTTTTATTTTGGTCTTTTTTTTTTTAAGCCTTCAAATGAGCTAAGAAAAACATCATCCTTCTCAAAGAATTAAGCTGCATTTGCAATCTTTCCTTCTAAATTAATCGTTTTGACTTTACTCTTTACATTACCTTCTCACTTTCTAGGCATTTTAATGATGTTCCCTTGCTTGCTACCCTGTCATGAATTGCTCAGTAACTTAAACTCACTTGTGTAGAATATGACCAATTTATTGTAAGCTTCCTCATTGCTGGAGCCCTGGTGGTGCAGTGGTTAAATGATACGACTGCTAACCAAAAAGTCAGCAGTTCAAATCCACCAGCTACTCCTTGGAAACCCTATGGGGCAGTTCTACTCTGTCCTCTAGGGTTGCTATAGGTCAGAATTGATCCAACAGCAACAGGTTTGGTTTTATTGGTTTTCCTAATTGCTAGGAATCCCTGGGCAGTGCAAACCATTAACGCACTTGGCTGCTAACCGAAAGGTTGGTGGTTAGAGTCCACCCAGAGGCACCTCAGAAGAAAGGCCTGGCAATCTAAAAAAAAAAAATCAGTAACTGAAAATCCTGTATAGTGTAATTCTACTCTAACACACTTAGGGTCACCATGAGTCAGAATTGACTCTACAGCAAGTGGTTTTTGTACTGATTTCCTAATTACTGCCTGTTTATGCAATTCTACATCATGCTTTTCTTTCCTTCTTTTTTTTTGGATTAGAATTGCTTTAATTGCATTCTTTTTTAAACAATTTTATTGAAGTATAATTTACATGCTGTAAAATTTATTTATTTTTGTCATAATTATCTAGGGCTGCTATAACAGAAATACCACAA